CAAACATAAATGCAATTGCCCAGTCACAGCCAGTCACACAGGAGTGTCTGCCGCTGCAGGCCTGCACAGCCAGTCACAGCCAGTTTGTTCCTGCAGGCCTGCACAGCCAGTCACAGGTAGTCTGCCGCTGCAGGCCTGCACAGCCAGTCTGTTCCTGCAGGCCTGCACAGCCAGTCACAGGCAGCTTGCCCTACAGCCAGTCATTTGCTCCCTTTGAGTGCATGTAGGTCACATTGCTAATACCCCATGGTCAAATTTGAGACAGACCAACCAATCCAACTGGCAAACACTAAAAGAAGTTCATGCGGCACCTAGTTTCAAACTGAACAATTTCCTTCTGCTGGGCTTGCGTGAGCTGCTGCTGCAGCTTCCAAGAGCCGCACCGGTTGATGATGCGTGTCGCAGGAAAGCCATCATGTCCCTTCCACTCTCCCACATTGCCAGTGCTGATGTCGGCATCAACAACCGTCATGAACTCCTTCAGCTGCTCCCACGTTGCCCCTGCTGCGTTGGGGATACGGTTCAGCACTGTTGCCGCTGCCTCCTCTGTTGCTGCCTGCTGCTGCGCTGCCTCATTTGCCTGTGCCGCGGCCGTGACCTCATGCGGGCACTTTCCTTTGGTCACTGCGGAATTGCAGCAGCGGCCGGCATCAAGGGCCAAGAATCAGGTGGCGGGCATCTGGCCGGCGGTTGTAGGCCTGCGAATCTAAGGGCCTGCCTGCACCCTGCTGTGTGTCCCATCTGCCCCCTAACTTACCCTTCCAGATGTGTTTCTTGATGAGGTCGACATCTGTGCTCAGCAACCAGCTGTGCAGGTCGGGCCACTGCTTGGTTATGCGCTCCAGCACTGCGGCGGCAAAGCCCACCTCGCCTTCCTTCTTCCTTGGCTTCCGCACCTGGCAGATTGCCGGATTCCACCGTGCCGTATGCTCCTCTTTAATTGCCGCCTCGAGTGCCACCATCTGCAGGGGCAGCATGGCAGGGTATTCCATGATTAGGCAGCTTAAGAGAAATAGGCAACCAATGAACCAGCTCGATAAAAGAAGGAACAAACCTGCTCAGCGGTGATGCGCGCAAGCACCTCGCGCGGTCCCGAGGCGGCCACCGGGATGTGCTGCCTGCATTCCAAGGACAAACAGAATGGGGTCGAGGGAGCAGCAGAGAGGGGCTAGAAGGGTGGGCCAGGCAGGCGCAGGGAGAGCGGGCAGGCGGGCTGGGCGGCACACAGGCTGGCGCCACGTCAGCACATTTTCAACCCAAAAGGACTTCAGAATCGACATCAGCGCCCTCACAAATGGGCGGGTGCAAGTTTGCAGAGCCATCTGAGGGGGCTGGAAAAGTAGATGGCTGCTGATGGAGGCCTCCAGCCC